GTCAGAATTTAGTCATTTCCATATCATGAAACATGTGGTGGGGAAGTACTCTCAAACATATAGAAATAAGTTTTTTGAAGTGGCAAATTTTAATTAAAATAATTCTGAAGGGCATTTTTCATCATCCCTTGGGAGCTGGAAGGCCACACTATGGCCAGTATTTCACAACCCATAGGATGGAACTTATGCACATCTTCTCTTTCCATGTTGCCATCTTGCACTCTAGTGGCATATATGTTCTTGTTTCTAGTTTACTATTACTACCTTCCTACTACCCCTTGTTACCTCTCTTTGAAAATTCAAGGTTTCTAAGGAATCCCGCTCCTCCTCCTTTATTGGCCCAGTTTTCTCTTCTGAATTCTTTTCCCACCACTTCATTTCCACACCCTCTCATGTGCCCAGATGGTAGTGCTCATGAATCCATCCATCCTCCATAAACGCAAAAATAGGTCTGTTGCCTTTCAAATTATTGAGGGCCAGATTATCCACCCCTTTCTTGCTTTGGAGAGCAGTTACTCAGGATATGTCTGCACTGCATACTGTACCCTGCTCTGGGCATCCAAGCCCGTGAACCTGCACTTGCCAAGCTCACCTGCTAACGTCCATGCTGCAGCAGTATGAATGCCTCACCGTCTCAGAGTGAGGTACAGCTCTGGAACAGTTGATGCACCTGATGTATGCTACCATAGCTGTGGATTCTCCACACAGATTCTGAAGCAGGGTTACAAGCATAGACTAGTGGGATCTCATTGTCATGGGGTGTGAGATGACTAGCAGTAGGTCCAGAACTTTTGCATTAGGAAACACACCTTTGTGTAGCTGTGTGAGGAGATTGCATCAAGTCCCCCATGCCAAGAGATACACATGAGGGAGGCCATACCACTCCAGAAGTAGGCTGCTGTGGACATCTGGAAGCTGGCTACCCCAGACTACTACAGACCCCAAGTTAACTGTTAGCGTGGTGGAGCCCTGTGATGCAATTAGGACTGTGGTTTACCCAAAGATGGTGGGCAAAACTAATGTGCCCAAAATACCTGCTGGCTTTGTAAGAATAAGCTTCCCAAAACTGCACCATGGCTACAAATGTGCCCACAATTCGCCCTCCACAAGGAGCAAGCAACTATGTCAACTCTTTGGTCAGCCAAGGCCTACATAGCAATGGAGTAGTATCCTTTGTAGGATACTACTCCATTGCTATTAGGGATGTAAAAGGTTAACTGGTTAACTGGTAAGCATTAGGCTTACTGTTAACTGGACCTTAACCGTTAACCCCTGTGGCTGGCTGCATCGGGGTGGCCGGTGTGACCCCGAACGAGATCGCGTCGGGCCGGGCGGGCTGGAATGGCCCTGGCCACACCGGCGGGACCCCAGCCCAGGCCGGTGGGCTGGAGTGGCCCCAGCCCCACTGGCAGAGCCCCAACTCTGGCCACACTGTGCCGGCGGGTGGGCTGCAGCGGCCCCGGCTGCGGCGGGCCAGTGGGGCCCTAGTTCTGGTGGGAGCCCTGCTGTCCCACACTGCCCCACTGCTGGAGTGAAATCAGTTAACGGTTAAACGATTAAATGATATAATTTTAATCCTTTCACCGGTTAACTATTTTAACCAATATTTCCATCCCTAATTGCTATGCCAGCCTTGGCCGACCAAAGAGGCAGGTTTGTGGACACCAGTGCATGCTGTATTGGCAAGGTGCATGATGCCACGGTGCTAAGATCTGGCGTTTACCGGTTTGGACAAGCAGTGACCTTATTTGCTCCAAAATTACATGATTATCAATAGGGTCTCTGTGCCCACTCATGACAGTGGACTCTGCTTACACTATCCTGCCATGGCTCATGAAACAGTACCCTGAGCTCAAAGAACCTGGCAAAAGAAAGCTCAATAAAATGCTTGGCAGTTGCAGGCTGGTGGCTGAGTGCACATTTGGCAGATTCAAAGCAAGATGTTGCTGCCTTCAAAACTGTTTGGATGGCCAACACTGTCCATCTTATTGTGGCATGCTGCACACTGCACTATGTTTGCAAGGTGAAACGAGCATTTTCACATGGAGTGGACTCAAGTAGATCTCAGCTTACCAGTGAGAGAAAGGGGTTGACAAGCTGTAACCTGAATATTATGGAGATCATAATACATGTTTTCCTTTATTTAAACTGTGCTTTTAAATACACAGTTCAATACTTCCCTCCAGGTTAAAAAGGAAGAATAGTGTAAAAGATTATTCAAAAAGTGGAAAAGTAACCCATACTTCAGGTTCATACAGAAAATAGCACTACATAATCTGGAAATATGGAAAAGAATATTGAATATATCAGATTAATTTACCATTGAAGTAGTTGCAGTGGTACATTCTGAATGCCAATACACTGCTTTTTATTTAACAAGTTAAAGGGCTCTGTCATTCAAACGTTACAATATATTGTGTAAGGGCATGTTGGGCTGAATAGTGCCGAGAGGTATACCACAGTCAACCCTACAGGATACTAACTAGGGCAAAATTTAGCTATATTTTTTTATAACATGCCCTTATTGTGATATCCAAGTGTCAGATAAATTAAAATAAGTAAAAACAGAATTCTGGTTTCTTACTCTCCCTAACAAAAACAGCAGCAGAACTTTTCAGTGTTTAAATATTCTACACAGGGCAAAACAAGTGCATTTTGTTAGTGTAAACTTTTTTTTATTTTAGTTACTTTTTCACATATAACTTCATGTAAGCTACAAAAGTTGTGAAATGCAAAAATGGTAATAAAACAGCAAACTTAAAACAGTTTAGATAAAAAACATGTGTCTTCCCCCTAACATTGACCATTAAAAATGAACCACATTTTGATGGATTCATTCAATAAACATACCATACACTTTTCAAAAATAAACAGAGAACAACATTAGAGAAACTAATACCATCAACAGCATGAAGTATTTAGTTGATTGATTTGTAAAGACAAATGAAATCTCTAGGCACAGTTTTAGGCATTATAGAGGACACAGAGGCAACAGGTTAGTGTGCACTGTTCTGTACAAAAATACAGTCTGAATAAATTACATTGCTAGCCATAAGATTAGACTTCACTTACCAGTTAGTTCATTGCATGTTTAATAATATACAGTTACATGCTAATCCATATATCATTCATATTTCAAACACATAGGTCTCTATATTTATGTCTTTAAAATTTACATGTTGAACTTACAAAAGCTAAATGTAGTTGTGCAAGAAATTCAAAAGAGTGGGTTGGTACTCGTCGCACCGGATAGTATACTTTAAGCTTAAAAAATAAAAATAACTAGCCCTGCTTGCAAGTTCACTATATGTATTTGGAAGAGAAATAATGGGTTTGTGGTGTGAAAAATTAGCTTGCTAGTGAGATAAAGCCACATACAACTGAAATGATGAAGGCATGATGTAAGAATAATATATAAAAAATGATGTCTATTGTATATACACTCCAATAAAGGAGTGTTTGATTCTATGGGTAGAAAAAATATTTCAGCTTTACATCGTATTTACTTTTAGTTTGGTGCCAAAACATACAATATTCGGCAATCTTGGCCATGGTAGGGGGAAAAAGCAGCAGCATAGGCTAAAATTAGGTGCCTAATCCCACACTTTGGCTACTAAATAAAAAGGACCCGATTCTCATAAGTTTCCCCACACACAAACCCCACTAGTTTTATTGAGTTTAAGGCCAGAAAGGACCATAAGATCATCTAGACTGACCAATATAATACAGGCCATTAAATTTCACTCAGATGCCTCTGAGTTAGACCAAAACATTTCAGTCCTCAGGAAACTAAACTTTGTCCAACAGACAGAGAACAGAAGAGACCAAGGTGCCACCAATGCCCACAGCCCCTGCAGTGGCAGTGAACTGATTATGTGATTATGTGCTGATCACCTGTAGATCCCATTAACTTCAATGGGAGTTGCAGGTATTCAGAACCTCTGAAAATCAGGCCCCGACTTTTGATGCCTAAGTATGGATATAGGATCCTAACTTTAGGCACTCAAGTTTGAAAATGTTTGCCTAACGGCCTTTTATGTTATGAATTGTGTGTTTTCCAGTATATGTGCAACTTATGTGTATATGCATTAGCCCACTGAATATGTTCTCTCTAGCTATACAGAAAGAGAAAGAGGGAGTTTACTAGGATTAGTAGATATGAGATAGGTCTAGCATTGTACGGCTTCCTCTCCTTGTACTAAGCAAAGTGCTGTGTAATTGTCAGCACCGAAGCACAGTTTCCCCTAGAAAGGAACAGAGATCCACTCACAGTAGACTTCTTAAAATTAGCCTAATTCCCATTCCATCACACAATGTTCCTAATGCTGCTAAATAAGAGCAGTGTTACGCTGCAGTCCAGAAAGATTTGCAGTTAAAGCCAAGGCCTGGAATGTGGTTAAATCACGCAGGAAAAAATGCAAAATTCCAAATATTCTCAGCTGCGTGCGAGATAAAGTGAAAGGTGCTCTCCTTCTTTCCCTCATGCCCTTTTACCCTCATCCTTCAGCAGGCCGCACAAAAACATTTAAGTGAAGCTATCATTTTGCTCTGTCATCCTAGTCTAGCTAATCATCACCGATCCAGGGAAGAGTGCTGATGCTGACGATTCTCCTGTGATATTATACACTCTATCCCAGAGAGGCCTAGGTTTGTTAAGAACTGGGTCTTGTTTGACAGAAATACTTTAAAAAACAACAGGCTACAAGCAGGTTTATGCTTCTTCTATACCTATTGCTGAATTGCCTCTCTCTGTAAACTGTGGCGAGTACATTTAACAACATTAGGACCACATCCTTTTGCATACGAATGCATGTTTACAGCTTCAAAGTCCCTGTTCTTACAGAGGCCCAACTAGGATATATTTTAAATTTCTCCATTAACAAAAATAATTATTTCTAAAGTTGTATATTAGAACTGTATAAAAATATGTTCACAATTAATTCAAAGTACCCAAATAAGCAAATGATAAACAAAAATAAAAGTTATTCTGTATAAGTCAATTTAAAACCCTAGTTTAACTTGGGTCTCATTTCATTTGTATAGCCTCTGGAAGTTTGAAGTGGGAAATATTCAGCAAGTAGTAATTAGACGGATGTCAATCAACCCTTTATACTCAGAGAAAAACAAATATCTGAGCTTACATACTGTACTGATAACATTTTTATACTGTACATAACTAGATCTCAGCTACGTTCTTTCAATTAGAGACAGAAAGTAAATGGATTTTTAGAAAGTGGTAGTCTCTCTCTACTAAACAGCTTTTTTTTAAAATAAATACTTTTAATAAGTACCAAGCAACTAGTTATTTTAGATTTAATCCAATTCCACCTCAAATTTATATGAACTTTTAGGTATTTCCCATCAAAACAGAGCATAAGGGCATACAGAGAGAGCAACCGATTTTAAGATGTTTATTTTGCATTACTGACCCAAAATGGAGATAGCGATCCAAGACTCGTAAGAAGGCATACAAAGTTAGTGCTTTAACCACTGCACCACAGCAAATATTACCATTTTGAGATGTAATGTGTTTCTTCCTCTGCATATGTTATATATATATATATATTTTCATTTATACTAACAAATGCCTTCTATAAAAATAGTTGGACTTGTTATTTATGCATTTTTACTGCACAGTTTGGAAATTAAAAGGGCATGAAGACAAATGCAGCTCATACATGCATTTTATTTGCCTCAGGGAAATTCGAGGCCCCATTACCCCTCACCCCACCCCACAATACTCAGAGCTGAGACAACTTCCAGCCACATAATTAGAAGCATATGTCTCCAGGTTTTGACTTCCCTTCAGGGATCTGCCACAGTTGGCAGGGAAGATGTGGATTGCCAATGCATAAACTCCCATTGTTGTTTTTTTCAGCGGACTGTCCAATGCAGACATTAGGAAAGTCATTGATCATTTACATTCATTGCCCCCAACACATGGTCATTTGCAACTAATTCCTCAAGAGCTTTTTCTAGCAAGTGACCAGGGCCCAACACCACTTGATGTAAGATGGCATCACCTGCTTATCATGACATCTGAATCCACCATGATATAAGGAAACTTCTAAATGGAGCTTATGCCAGCTGCTCCCCTGCAGGCGATGGCAGAAGCAGGCACTGCATTTTCATTCCAGCAACGTCGCTCACAATGATCGCTGTATCTAGATCCTTTGCTTGTTGTCAAGAAAAATGACATTAACGTAGCTGCAGCTTCCAACGTTTGCCTGTGTAAGATTAGCAATCTTAATTTTCGCAGTTCTCTTAAATGGATGTAAAAGCTAGTTATAGTGTTTGCAGCCAAAAGGCAAAGGCTATTAAATCAACAGAGCAGACTGCTTGGTGCTCCACAAGTATTCTAAAAAACAGCGAGTTAGAAAAGATGGAGTAATCCTTTTGTTATTTCTTTTCTTTTTCTCAAACTAAAGTAGTACTAGTAGTAGTCTTCATAGATCTTAGGGTTCAGGCAATAAAGGAGGGCACCCCCAAATGAAAATATAGTTGCACCCCAAGCCAGGCCATAGCCCCAGTTGAACTCATGGTATATTTTCAAGTTGACTGTCTCGATGAACTTGACTGGATAAAGGACCAGGCTGCACGCCTGAAGAACAACTGAAAGAGAAATTAACCAAAAGTCAGAAGAGGGTTTTACTCATTTACATAAAACACAACAAACATTACATTACCAACACTCACATTAAAAATGTGGTTTTTGGTTACATGACCCTATTTGAGCTAGCAGCGAAAGAAATAGCAGCTTATCGGTGTAGAGAACAATTAAATGAATTGCAAGAAATTTGGACCCCGCTTCTTGATACATTTGGGTAAAGAATGTTGAGATAGCTCAAGTAATGCTAAACTTCCGTTCCATCTGACCTCTCCGCTTTTCCCCTCCCTCTGTCCATCCTCCAGTCTCCTCCTTCCCTTTTTAAAAAAATTGTTACCCCTCCTCACACACTCCAACATGTTATTTCTGCGTAATACCATCTGATTTTGTATTGTTTGGTCTTGCAGCTTTAACGAGTTGTAAAGTTGCATAACTGCATAATTTAATTGGCTATTTGATAATATACACAAGCAGCAAGTCATTTACCTTTTTGTATTTTTTAAAAAATAATCATAAAAATGCCTTTGGTCCAATTTTTATTTGTATATATTGCTCTATTTGTACGTAAAAATAAACTAACACAAACTATAGAGCGTATAGCAACTCCAATATATTCCCTAGGAGATGAACAAATGTTATTGCTATTGTATAATTATATGATTCTATTTGTTCCCTGGAGATTTAAAGTAGCAGCAATCTCTTCCCAATGTCCTTTTTGCTACCTTTTTTTAGTCTGGAGTTTGGATTCTTTCTGTAATAAAACAAAAATGACTAATCTAATGGATACTACAAATAGAACACATCGAAGATGAGGAGGAATAAAGGAACCTGAAGAAATACAGTCCACACTCAACCAATTTATTCTAAACAAGGAGTAATATGGGATATTAATTAATATGTCCAATTACAATATAATTCTTATGGAATTATATGTTATGTAGACATCACCCACTGTAATCAGGATTAGTAATATTATTATATGGATTAACAAAGGAATTCATAAAGCTTTGTCACCTATTGTAAAGTCATAAAACTCTAATACGTGGAAAAATATTTGCTGCATACGGTAAATACAGAGAGGAAAAATATGTCTGACTCCGGCTCAAAACTGATGAAACAAAGCAAATTCTAGGAAGTGAGATGCTTAAAAATCATTATTTTCTAGGATACTGTTCCTGAGAGAGTGGGAAGATTTCATACAGCAAGTGGTATATGCTCCAAACACATTTGCAATGAAATTCAATAAATGTGATAACTATTGTGTTGTATCCTGACCAGATGTAATATGCTTACAGTAAGAGTGCATTGTGTGTGCATGCATGGATGAAGAACCTAATTTTCTATTTGGAGAGCTCAGTTTTATAAGGGTCCATTCTTCCCTAATGCAGATACATAACTACCATTAGCATAATTGGGATAAACAGTTATTGGGTTCAATACAAGGATAAGTGGGTGAAATTTAATAGCCTGTATTATGCAGGAGGTGAGACCAGATGATCTAATGGACCCTTCTGGCCTTAAACTCTATGAACTGCATGTGCACAAGAGGAGAAAAGACACGACAGCAATGTGATTTCCAGCCTTTTTTCATCCTAAATACAGTGTGCCCCGATCTCATGAACATTTAAGCAGATGATTAACTTTGTGCACAGGAGCAGCCCCATGATTTCAGTGGGACTATTCATAACCACAATGATAAGCACATGCTTAAGTAATTCCAGAATTGGGGCATATACTGTTAAAAGCACAGAGCTATCTGATATGATAGCACATTTTTTTTAAACAAAGAAATATATTAAATGTAATAAAAATAAGAAAGCTATTTAGAGATAATTCTCTATGAGCCCCGTGCCAGATTAAAATTACACTAAAAAAAATGAGTATTCCTCATTACAGAATTCTGTCTGAAATTACATTGCAAAATTATAACAACATGAAATACATCTTAATTGTATTACCCTGGTGTTTAAACATTTATTGCACAAAAAATCATTTTAATTTTGCTTTTTATATCCTCCCTGTGCACTCTTTCCCTCTTTTAAGTAAATGGCTTTAGTGCTACCAAAAGATGCCAATTTGACTGCACTAGAGACTAAAGCCCTCAATTTACTGGCAGAACAGGAACTGCAACAACAATAGTGCAAAACTGTCCTGCCAATGCATCTCAACCCAACATTGTCTCATAGACTTTAAAGCCAGAAGGGACCATCCTGATCATCTAGTCTGACCTCCTGCACATCGCAGGCCACAGAATCTCACCCACCCAGTCCTGTAATAAACCTATAACCTCTGGCTGAGTTACTCAAGCCCTTAAATCATGATTTTAAAGATGTCAAGTTACAAAGAATCTATCATTTACTCTAGTTCAAACTAGCGAATGATGCATGCCCCATGCTGAAGAGGAAGGTGAAAAAATCCCCAGGATCTCTGCCCATCTGATCTGGGAGAAAATTCCTTCCTAACCCCAAATGCAGTGATCCTGCGCATGTCAGCAAGACCCACCAGCCAGACACCTGGGAAAGGATTCTCTGTAGTAACACAGAGCCCTCCTCATCTAATGTCCCATCTCCAGCTATTGGAGATGTTTGCTACTAGCAGTCAGTTGGGCCACGTGCCATGGTAGGCAATCTCATCATAGCATCCCTTCCATAAACGTATCAAGCTCAGTCTTGAAGCCAGTTAGGATTTTTTGCCCCCATTGCTCTCCTGGGAAGGCTGTTCCAGAACTTCACTCCTCTGATGGTTAGAAACCTTCACCTAATTTCAAGCCTAAAACTTGTTGATGGCCAGTTTATATCCATTTGTTCTTCTGACAACATTGGTGCTTAACTTAAATAACTCCTCTTCCTCCATGGTATTTACAGAGAGCAATCATATCTCCCCTCAGCCTTTGTTAGGTTAGGCTAAACAAGGCAAGTTCCTCAAGCCTTCTCTCATAAGGTAGGTTTTCCATTCCTCTGATCATCCTAGTAACTCATCTCTGCACCTGTTCCAGTTTGAATTAATCTTTCTTAAACATGGGAGATCAGAATTGCACACACTATTCCAGATGAGGTCTCACCAGTGCCTTTTATAATGATACTAACACTTCCCTGTCTACTGGAAATACCTCGCCTGATGCATCCTAGGACTGCATTGCCTTTTTTTTACAGCCACATCACATTGGTGGCTCATAGTCATTTTGTGATCAACCAATACACCCAGGTCTTTCACCTCCTCTTGTGCCAAGGTCATGAATGAAAATGTTAAATAAGATTGGTCCCAAGACCAATCCCTGAGGAACTCCACTAGTAACCTTCCTTCAGCCTGAGAGTTCACCTGAGAGACGCCTTGTAGTCTCCCCTTTAACCACTTGCTTATGAACCTTTCAGTTTTCGTATTGATCCCCATCTTCTCCAACTTAACTAATAATTTCCCACGTGGAACAGTATCAAATGCCTTACTGAAATCCAGGTAGATTAAATCTACTGCATGTCCTTTGCCTAAAAAAAAAAATCAGTTATCTTTTCAAAGAAAGATCAGGTTGGCCTGGCATGATCTACCATTTGTAAAACCATGCTGTATTTTATCCCAGTTACTGTTTACTTCTATGTCCTTAACTACTTTGTCTTTCAAAATTTGCATACATCCTAGGTCAAACTAACAGGCCTGTGGTATCCTGGATCACTTTTTTTCCCCTTTCTAAAAAACAGGAACTATATTTGCAATTCTCCATTTACAGATTCATTAAAAATCCTTGCTATTGGGCTTGCAATTTCATGTGCCAGTTCCTTTAATAATCTTGGATGGAGATTATCTGGGCCCCCCGATTTGGTTTCATGGAGCTGTTTAAGTTTGACTTCCACCTCATATGTGGAAATTTCTACCTCCATTATCTTCATTTCTATTAGCCACCCTGTCACTACCACTAAGCTCCTCATTACCCATATTAAAAAGTAGGGTAAAGTATTAGTTTAGGTGTTGGGCCATGCCTAGATTATCTTTAATTTCCACCCCATCCTCAGTGCTTAGTGATCCCACTTCTTGTGATCCCACATGTTTCCTTGTTTTCTTTTTATTTACATGGCTAAAGAATCTTTTACTATGGTTTTAATTTCCTTAGCTAGGTCCAAGTCTGCTTGCCTTTGGCAGTTCTCACTTTTTCCCTACATCTTCTGACCTCCAAAAGGGAGCTTTCCTTGCGGAGCCTTCCCACCTTCCATTCCTTGTAGGCTTTCTGCTTTCTCTTAATCACTTGTTTGAGATGCTCTCTCATCCAGTTTGGTCTGCAACCCTTCCCTATGAACTTTCCCCCCCGGATTGGGATGCAGTTTTCAGATAGTTTCTGCAACTTTGACTTAAAGTAATTCCAAGCCTCCTCCACATTCAGTTCCTTGACTTCTTTGGTCCAGTCCACTTCCCTAACTAATTCCCTTAAATTTTTTTAAAAGTTAGCTCTTTTGAAATCAAGGACCCTTGTTGCAGATCTATTTTTGTTTATCCTTCCATTTAGTTTAAACTGAATTAGCTCATGATCACTCAAACCAAGGCTGTCCTCTACAATCAGTTCTTCTATGAGGCCCTTACTACTCACTAACACCAAATCTAAATTGTCATCACCTCTTGTTGGTTCTGTGACTATTTGGTGAAGAAATCTGTCAGCCATCACATTTCAGGAATATCTGGGACCTAACATTATTAGTAGCACTTGTCCTCCAATCTATATCTGGAAAATTAAAACCTCCCATAATCTTACAATTCCCAGTAATATTTATTTCATTAAATTATTAAAGAGGTCTCTATTCATATCCAAAACGGATCCTGGGGTCTGTAGCAGACCCCAAGTACTAACCCAGTGGAGCCTCTGCTGCCTTTCTTCCCCCTAAGTGATTTTGACCCCAAAAGACTGTTTTATCCATTCTATCACTTTTAATTTCTTTAGAGTCTACCTTGTCATTAATATCCAATGCTACTCCACCACTTTTACCTTTATTTTTGTCTTTCCTGAACAGCACATACCCTTCAA